TATCATGTATATATATATGTAGGTATAAAAGTAAGTAGTAAGCCTGCCACAAGTCAAGCGAGAATAGTTATATATATATATATATAGGTATGCATGTGTATTGTTTTCAGATTTTACAGCTAGTTTCTACCGATAAACGAAATAGTATTTGGTTAGCGTACTCAGTTTTGTTTGCCATCAATCTATGAGCTATACATAGAGAAAATTACTAAATCTAGATTTTTTTTATTATATAAGTATATATTTTCTATTTAGTTGGGCAATGAAGTAATCAAAAAGTTTTGAAGCATTTCACAGACAGTCAAGGCAGACAGAACGTGTTTTGTTTATATGGGAGATATAGGTATTCGGTTTTTCAGATTAAGGCATAGGCAAAACGAAGCTTAGAAAGGCGCGAAGTGAACACAAACTTAGGAGGAAGCTGGAAAAGTGCTGCTCTGCCGAAAAGCGTGGCATGTGGCATGTGGCATGTCGCGCATGTAGTGATCGGGTGAAGTTTCTTAAGAAAAAGGGGCGTGTGTTCTGCTTAGAATTTGAAAAGATATATAGTAGATAAATAAGTAATATATGTGGAAAGCGGTACAACAGAAAAAATAAGATAAGTGAATACCAAAATAAATACCAACACACAATAAAGTAGTTTTGTTTCTGTTTCGTAAGGTTCAAACTATATTTTAAATCAAACACACACGATATTTCAAAAATAAACAATCAAAGAACTATCGACAATTAAATTAATATTAGTGGCAAACATTAAATTGTCATTAAACATTAGAAATATATATATATATATATATATATATTTGTTTCAAAGTAACGTAAATTAAAACAAAATATTACAGAGATTATAAGTATATGTATGTATGTATAAGAATAGGTAATAATAATAATATTAAAAGTTCGAATCTATCAACTTCGAGCGCCAAGAGCGTTGAAAATATGGGGCTAAAACATAAAGTGCGCAAGTCTGTGGCAATTTTTTTTAATGTTTCTTTTCTTTCTTTTCTTTTAGGTATATTCCTATTGCTATACAGAAAAAACATATAAAATCTATAAACTACATTTAAGAAATTTGTATAATTGTCAGTACATAAATTATATAACGTAAAAATTACATAGAAAAACATAATAAAGAAAAATCACACGAGATCTAAGATTAAAAACATAGTTCTGTTGTCATCAATTTTATTTTATAAACATACATCATGTAAACATAACATGTATGTACCTTTTATATATAAGTTATTCAGAACAAAAAAAAAAAACATGTATTACATCGAGAGCAAGAGATAGAGAGAAAAATGTATGGTGGAAAAACGAAAATTGTACATAGTTTTGTATTTTCTTTTAATAGTCAACATAGGAGTCAAATCGTGAACATAACATTAACATTAAAATAACATAACATAATTTTGATGGCTTAACATTTTTGAATATGATTTGAGGTGTAGATGTATGTGTGTGTGACGGTGTGTGAGTGTATCAAGGTAAGAGTGAATCGCAAAGAGACAGAGAGAGAAAGTTGTGATTGTGATGGTGACTTAAAATATTGATTTTGATTCGGTTTATAGTTTAGTAAAAGGCGCTTTTTAGCTAGGGTGTATGAGTATGTGTGTGCGTGTGTGAGTGTGTATGATTATATGGAATCTAAACGATTTACAGATCGAACTTCGTCATGTTCTAAGAGTGTGGATTGGTTTTCGGGTGTTGGGTATTTTGGGGTGTGTGCAAACAGCTAGAGTACATAGTATTTATGTATATCGTATATATGTATATAAATATATATTTATATTTATTAGCAGCATACAGCATGTATAGTATTTGTGTATAATAGGTATATATAATAGGTATATTCTATAACTAGGCAATATTCGTTACGCATGTTCGTTGCTCAACAATTTTAAACAATTAAAATTACAACAGCATTCACGATAGCTAACTAACTAGCTAACTATACAGTAGCTATAGAGAGAGATAGAGACAGAGTGAGAGCGAGGGAGAGGTAGACAGAACGTGAAAGACTTTTTGCAACGTTAGCTGCATGGCATAAAAAGCTTTTGCAGCCCAACAACAAGCGCAGACACAACTATACCTAGCAGCAATTTCTTTTAATTTTTCTTGTTCCTCCTGTTATCTAATGGCGTATTTTATAGGAACGATTAACTGACTCGCATGTACGGGGAAGGGGTGTGAAGTAAGCTTTTTTCTTGTATGTGTGAGTGTGTGCGTGTGTGTTGTGTATTGTGCAAAGCTATCACAGTACTTCGTTATACCAAGTTGCAGTTGCCGTTACCAATTCCATTTCCGTTTCCGTTTCTATTTTATGATCTTTTGTGTTCAAGCTAGTGGCTCATTAAACGCTATCAAAGAGGAACTTAACTTAAAAAACTACCTAATGAAAAAGTTTCGTTTTAGCTTTAAAAGCTTCGTTCTTATTTAGCCTATGCTATGAAAATGGCAACAGCTCAAGTCACAGTGAGGTTATGCTTTGTGTATCTTTGTTTGTTGCGTCTAATTAAAACATAAAAATTGTTTAATAAAAATCCTAAGGAAAATTTGACATACTGTTTGCAAGCCGCGACTTCCATTTTGTGTAACTGAGCGGGGCAAGAGGATTACTTGGGGGGCAAGCAGCTTTCAAGCATATTACACTTAATGAAAGCTCATTAAAGCGCGTGAATGTTCGAGAAAGCCTTCAAAGTGTTTAACAGTTGTAGCTTTGATTTCTTATATTGCAAAAGCTGCGGATGACTAAGCTTTAAGCAGCTTTAAGCATATTTCTTTATCCGGCCAATTTAAAAATCTTCCTTAGTGTGTAGGTGTGCTTGCATGTTTGTATGTTTTTGTGTGTACGTCTGACTTGAATTTGGGATTTGTCATGGTGCAGTTCCTTTTTAAAAAAAATGACACGTTATGACACTCTAAATATAATGCTATCTATTACGAGACCTAGTGTATAAATTAAGTTAAAACTGAGGCACATAATCTTACGTCTTCGATGTGTACTACATGCTATAGTTACTACTAAAAATAAGTGGACCAATACGCCTATTAAGTACAGTTGCGTTCGAGTCTCTGTGTTTGGGTAGTGACTGTTTCAGCTGCTTAGGAGGTCTTCATTTTCTTATAGGGATTCAGCACCATGGCGCTGCCCTGAGCCCCGCCCTGCGCAGCTGCAGCAGCTGCTGCTGCTGCTGCATATTGCTGAGCTGCAGCCGCCGCTTGGCTGCTGGGCATAGCATAGGTATAGCCGCCACCGGCGGCGCCGGCAGCTGTGGGCGCGGCGGTCATCATGCCCGGATAAAAGTAGCCTTGGGCAGCAGCCGCTGCTGCGGCATACTGCTGCTGGCTGGCAGCCATTTGCATGGGCGCAGCTGCGCTGGGTGCACGCAGCAGCGCGGCGGAGCCGGTCGACAAATAACCGGCAGCGGCTGTACGCACCGGAGTGCTGGGTGCCACCGGCGTGGACAGACCCGAGTTGGGCAAGGAGCTATATTGACGCAGCTGCGCCTGGGCTTGAGCCTGTGCCTGAGCCTGGGCTTGAGCCTGGGCTTGCGCCTGAGCTTGCGCTTGAGCCTGCACCTGCATTTGCAGCAGCGTGGCCATGGACACCGGCTGCGGCTGTTGCTGCTGTGTGTGTGGTTGCGGTACCGGCTGGGGGGTTGCCGCAGCGGCCCCAAAGCTCTTATTGAGTGTCATGCCTGTGTATGCGGCAGCGGAGGCAGCGGAGACGGGCTTGCCGGCAGCAGCATTGGCCATCTTTAGGGCATAGTTCTTTTGGGCTACCTCTTTGGCCAATGCGGCAGGATCTGCATAATAGCTGGCCGCGGGGCTAAGACCAGCTGCATAGGCGGCATAGGCCTGTTGCGCATAGGCCATCTGGGCCTGAGCCTGAGCTTGAGCTTGAGCTTGAGCTTGAGCCTGCACCTGAGCAACCTGTTGCTGCTGCTGTTGTTGCTGCTGCGCCTGCACATAGCTGTTCTGCATATTGCTGCTGGCCATGCTAACAATGGGCGTGGCATTTGTATAGCCACTGTACAAACTGGCATAACTGTATGGGGGCATTGCGTAGCTCATACGCTGAAATTGTTGTACCGAAGATGCCACCGAGGACACAACAGCGGGGCAACTGTTGCTGCTGCCGCTGCTGCTGTTGGTCGTGGGCGTGGGCAAAATGCCGCTGCTGTGGCCATTATGATAGCGCTGATAGGCATCACTGCTACTACCATTCTGTTTGGGCGCATAGCTGCGCTGGGGCGGGGTCTGTATATAGGAAATGGAATCGGCATCGACTGTTGCACCACTGACAGCAACTGCTGCTGTTGCTGCTGTGTTGCTGTTGTTGCTGCTGCTGTTGTTACTGCTGTTATTGCTGTTATTGCTGTTGCTGGTGCTATTTTCAGCATCGTTGGGCGGCTCGTCGCCATTTAACGATTTCAGATTGTTGTTTAAATATGACAAATAGTTGTTGTTGTCGCCATTAGCGCGGGTCATGGGATCGCCCAGAAGGGCTTGTGTCTCAGTGGGTGGGGGGCTAGAGCTACCATTTGTTGGGGATGTGGTTGTGTCATGTGTTGCTGTTGTTGTTGCAGTTGTCTCATTAGCTGTTGCAGTGTCTGCTGTTGTTGTAATTGTTTGTGCTGTTGTATTACAATCGTTAGCTGTGTTTGTTGTTGCTGTTGTGTTTGTTTGTGTTGTAGCTGTTGTTGCTGTTGTGTCATTATTTTCTTGATCATGATCCGCCTCATAATCGTTAGCTAGCACTTGATTATCATGATTATTATAATGATTAGTAGCTGTGGTTGTTGTTGTTGGTGTTGTTGTATTTGTATTGGTATTGGTATTTGTATTGGTATTGGTATTGGTAGTCATAGCAGTTACAGTTACAGCATTATTATTATTATTACTGGCTGCTGTTGCTGCTGTTGTTGTTGTTGTTGTTGTTGTTATGGCGCTACTTATTGCTTGTAGTTGTTGTTGTTGTTGTGGGGGATACTCACATGACACTGGCACGTAGGGCTGCATTAATGGTTGATAGGTTGTCGCACCGGGTTGATACACTGGAATGCCAGACTTTTCGGCAGCTGGACGTTTGAACGGTACCATGCCAGAGAATTGCTTTAAAAATAAAAATAAATAGCGAAAGAGAGAGAGGGAGAGAGAGAGAGAGAGAGAGAGGAAACGAATACATTATGGATTAGTAAAATTGTCATGAAGTACATCTTAAATTAAGCCTAGTTGCACTCTAGCCATACATATATAATAATATAGAATAAATATATAAATAGCTTACAAACGAGCTCAAGTTGGGATTTTAATTTTGTCCATTCTTTAATTTTACACTCAATTTTCTCAAACTTTTGCCAATGTGTGTAAATGATAGTAAATATATCCAATAATAAACCAAAACTATTCAAATCGAATCAGAACCAAAAAAAAAGTTAAAATAGCATTGAAAAGTATTCAAAAATTTGGCAAAGGCAACGTAAACAAATTGCGTGCATTTCAAGATTGAGAGCTTTTAATGTGCTTTCCAATAGGCTACAAAAGCTATGCTCAGCCAGCGATTAAAGCATGTGAGATATTCAAGGATAAATCTGTGTGGGATATTGCTGCAGCAAAGGACAGCTGAATTCTTAAAACTAAACAAAATCGTCGGCCAATTGCAAATTTTCACATTTCACAGACTGTTTGTTGTCGGTTAAGTTGAATATCTTAAGCTGACCCATGCTGAACCAATTGTTATCACCGAATATGTGCAGTTTTTTTTTAACCGATAATTGAGGTTTTTTGTTTTGATTTTTTTTATTTTTTATTAATATTTGTTATAGTTTATATCGATTTAGTTATTTTATGTGTAAGTTTGTGGAATTTTGATTTGAATACATGCATTCTTATTAAATATGTCAATTGCTTGTTTAAAGTATGCATTGCGTTTGTTTTAAATAAGCTGTGTTTCTTAAGGTTCCGATAAGGAAGTAATCGAAAACTGAATGCAAAATTTAAGTTTGAATACTTAGAAAATTATCGCATTTCGATAAATGATATTTATTGTTAAAAATCAAAATGTAGTTACAAACATTTAAAAGCTTTGCAAGTCTCAACTTTAAAAGTTTATATTATTCCGTATGCATATAAAAAAATGCTGTAAAACTCACGAAGGAGCTTTTTATCGATAAAGTATCGATGACGCTTTTCAAATAAATGCCACCGAATATTTGTTCCACTATCGATAGATTCAAATAGAAGTTCTTTAAACAAAAATTTGCTTGTCTTTGTATATCCAAAAATCTGGAATAGTGTATTCCTGTCACTTAAGTGAAAAGTAAAACTTTTTTATACAAAGAGTAATTTAAAAATAAATCGAAATCGATGTGCTACTTATTGTCGATCGTTTTGCAACACTACCTTGCGTGTGTGGCTTTAAGAAACACAGCTTAAATTGTTTGTTTAGTAATTATAGGTTTATATTATGTGTTCTTCTATATATGTAGTGTTATAATACTGGATGGATAGTTGTTCATTTATCTGTATGATACGTTTTTTATTTCTTTGGAGTACTTACGAAGTTTTCATAGTAAAATGAACCAACCGTTTTAACATCCATCTTTTTGGTAATTGTGCACATTTATGGTTATTATTGTTATTGTCATTATTATTATTATTTTCATGATAGTATATTCCAAAATGATCGTAATTCGATATTAGTAATTGTTTCATTTCATGATTATTTGAATAATACGCATTGTTGATTGATGAATTTGTTGCAGTTGATGTTTTTTTTTTTTTTTTTTTTTTTTTTTTTTTGTTGGTAATATTTCATTTGTTTTGGCATAATTGGGTTAGCAGACATTTGTTGTAGTTGTTGTAGTTGATGATGTTGTTGTTGGTACACATATATTCAATATATGCGATAATTGATTGTTTTTTAATTTTGGTTTGAATTGTTGGCAACAAGTAACATAGAGACACAGAAAACAAATGAAAGTCGGAATCGAAAAACAAACGAAGAAGAGAGAGAACACAAATGAAATTAGTGAATATATTCAGCGTAAATATACAAAATAGAAATTTGTTTTCATATTAGCAGTAAGTTAGAGAATATATATATATATATAGACTTAGACTAGCGTGATGTGAATGTGTGATAAGTTAACCTAAGCTCTATGTAATTATAATACATACAATATCTGATACATACGAAGAATACAATACATAAGTTAGGAGCAGGCAGTCTGCCAAGACTTAAGTTTAAACAAAATGCAAGAAAGCCAAGCAAATTTCGGTTACAGCCCGCAGCTAATTAACTTGGAAAAGCACTTAAGCAATTAAGCAGGGCTGCCACACTAGTGAATGCACTAGCAGCTGCAGTTGCCGTAAAAATAATAAAGCGTAGCCAAGCAGGAAGAGCTGTCGGAGCAGTCGAAACCGCCGAAACGGTTCGTCATGCAGCCAAATGCGAGTGATTGTATTCATTTTGGGGCTTGGCCAATTAACAGTTAAATCATTTTAATTAACACTTGCCTAGGTGAGTGAGTGAGAGAGTGCGTGAGTGTATGTGATTGTGATTTATCATATGCTACCCCTAATTGTTGCCACATACGGCACGCAACACGGCAACAAACGATGATTGTAAGTGGAAGCTGTCGATGCCAGAGTCCAACAGGGCAACATGTAGTATTGGGAAATTGATTACTAATACGCATTTGTGTGTTCGCAGTGTTGTGTAGTGCGTGTTTGCGCTTTTGATATGCCAGATAATTACTTAATTTTGCAAATTAAATGCTCGCTGACTAACTGACTGAATGGAAGACTTGTCTGTCTGACTTGAGGGCTGCGCTGATTATAAACGTTAATTAATGGCACTTCACAGTGCATGTGAAATTAGCGAGTAAATGGGTAAATGAGTGCTTCAGTGTTAGTGAATGCGTGAGTGAATGGGTGAATGAGTGGGTGAATGCATGGCTGACTGAGTAAGCCAGTGAGTGGGTAATTGTGGGGTGGTTATTTGCTTTTGTTTGGTTGTCAGCGCGAAGGAACTGCAAGTTTTATTATACTAAAATCTATTTCAACTTTAAATTTGATGTATACTTTTGTCTGACATGGGAAATAATTTGACTTTCTGAATTAAGGCAAATATATATTTATTTTTTTTATTTAACTAAATTCTTAGCAACTTCGACTTCCAAAAAGTTTCATTGCATATCTGAAGAAAATTTAAAAAACCTTGGAAGTTTTTTAATGTTTTTTGAATTTTTGAAAATGATTTTTCAAGAAAATAGTATTTTCTCTGAATTCTTGTAGGTGATCTCTTCCAGTACTGTAGACTAGTTTCAAACCTTTTTCTTACACATTTCAAGCCATTTGAAATCGAATACTTTGATAATTACAAGATAAAAGCATTTCTTTTATGTTGAAGACAATCATCAATTGTCATAAGTTTGAATTTGTAAAATGCTTTTGATTCAACACAAGGTATGCATCATAAAGTTAAACAGATATTTAGCTATATTATGTTTTAGCCCTACATTACTTTTAAGTTGATTTAGCAGTTCTTTTTTCATAGCACATTCGCAGCTTGAAATCATGCACTAAAAAAGGGAGCTAAAAATAAGAAATAATGAACTTAACTCAATCAAAATCGAAGGCGCAGGAAATTAAACAATAATAGTAAATAAATATCGAGAAACGAAACGCAACAGAAACGGAAAAACTATAAAAAAGAGGTGAAAGAAATTAAACAAAATACCAGTGGAAACATTTCAGGATCCGCTGCCCGCTTCTTGCCTACTTCCAGTGTGTGATGACCCATGACAGCAGCGGCAGCGGCGGCGGCGGCGGCGGCAGCAGCAGCGGCAGCGGCAGCGTTGTTTGTTGTTGTTGTTGCTGTTGGTGTTGTTGTTGCGCCAGCAGCGACGCCGCCGGCCGTTGGGATGGTGTTGTTGTTGTGGAGGTGGTTCTGCAGCTGTTGCTGTTGTTGTTGTTGTTGTTGCTGATGCTGATTGAGTTGTTGGTGTGCCGCAAGAGGTGAGCTCTGTATTGTGTATTGTGTGTATGTGTGTGCGTGTGTGTGTGCGCGCGCGTGTGTATTGGTCAGTTTAGGTGCATCATTTTGTCAAGTTGCAATATTTGAAATCAAAATCAAAATAATTATGTCCCAAAATCAATTAAAAGGAATTTATAGAAAATGATTTTTTAACAAGCATTTAAATAATGCGACCATTAAATATGCATAAATTCCATTTGAATTATTCAAGCAGCGTTGGTGTTGGCATTTATAATAAATATGCACATTTTTTTGAGATTTTTGTTATTGTAGTTGTTGCATTTTTTGCGTACATATTTCAAATATTTATATATATATTTATATATATTTATATTTGCATTTTGAACGTATTTTTTGTGCGTTTTATTTTGTGCATTTGTATGTGGCAGGTGTGTGTGTGTGTGTGTGTGTGTGTGTGTGAGTGTAGATACCATCCATCGTAGAAGCAATTACAGTGTGGCACAGGCGAACAGATGAAATACATAATAGTAGAAGAGTACGAGTGTTTTTTGTAATAAGTAAAATTATAGTCAAAAAGAAAAACATAAAATCAAATAGAAATCAACAATTTTTTGTTTGAAGTTAAAACAGACTTTTAAGAGATATAGTAGCCTTTAAATCAATAGAATATTTTACCCTATCATATAATAATTTTTTTTTTTATAATTTTGTAAATTGTTTACTCGATTTCTTTTTATATTTTAAGACCTAGAATAAAAAATCACGAAACCAGCTATTTGTTTATATTTCAATTAAATATGTATAACAAAATTTAAAGTTTTTTTTCATTTGTTAAAAAAGCATCGTTAATAAAAAGCTCAGAAGCGTATATTATAAATAGATATTTGATATATTTATAAATAATTTAAATGTATAAGCTTGCAAAAGCCAGCAGCAAAAGCTTTATATTTTGTTTTTCTGAAACCCATAATGAATATATTAATATGTAGCTAAAATACTTATTGTAAGAGCTTAAATTCTAACTTAGAAATTATATATAATTGATGTTAAACGCAACAAAATCATTTTTACGGTCGATTAATAAGTTCGCTGTAAGCCAATAGAATTATTCATTTTAAGTATATATTTCGTCTGAATTTAGTTATGAATGTAACAAAAATTGATTTGAGTACACACACACATTCGCATTACTTCGATGAGTTGGGCCGCAAAAGTACTCGTACACCAATTCGATACCTAATACCGATCGATACCTACCGATGCATCGTTGCTGCTGCTTTATACTCGTTACAACTCCTAACTAAAGCCATAAATAAATATTAAAGTAAAGAACACATTTCGTAGTGCATTCGAGCAGTTCGAGTTGTAAATTTTGACTTCAGAGAGCTCAACGCTAATACGTTTAACACCGCAATTTACACAAGAGGTTGACAGCATTTGGGCACCGAGTTGGCTCTGGGTGGGGGATTTTTTGTTGCTTTCTCTGGTTATCTAGTTGTACTGGGCTAATAACCAAAAACTCAAAAAAACATAAAACAAAACATAACTTAACATACTTTTAGGCGGACACACGGCGTTCAACACGAAAAAGTGCAAAAAATTTGCATTTAAATGGAGTCGCAAAGGGAGAAGCTCAGTTTTTTTTTGTGATTTTTTTTTTTAAATTTATTTTTGTGTATTTTTTGGGTTCTGTTTTGTGGTCTTTTGCAGTGCACACGTAGCTCAGGTTGTGCCAGTTGCTGTTTCAGTTCCCCTTGCTGGAACTGTTTCATGTCACCGCCAATGAATGCTATAAATGGATTAATTCGCTTGGGCAAGGCGATATGTGGTCTGCCTATATATGTGTGTGTGTGTGTGTGCGTGGTGTGGTATCTGTGCGTTTGTGTGTGTGGTGTGTGCCGTTTTTTGGGGTCATAAGAGACTGTGGTGGACACAGGCCAGAAAAAAAGCGGAAATATATCTGACAAGGTCGCAGGGAAAATACACTGTATTCTTTATAGATCTTCATTTAAACTCGAATTATTTTAAACAAATTCATTTTGTTTATTGTAAATATTTATTATTATATTCTTTAGAACTCTTTTGTCTATTTCAATATGAGAAGTGTGCCAGCTCAATTTGAGAGATGCAGCTAGTCTAGAAAAAGCAATGTTTATAACTGTGATACTAGTCGGACTGTAATATATTAGCTGAGCTCTGATGAGCTGTTACATCTTTCACATAAAAACACCAACTCGATCTGATAATCATAATAGTCCAAGGATCTCATACTATGGTCGTAAAGATTGTCAGTTGAAAACTGTCGCTGGTCGGGCAACGTTGCCGCTGGACAATTCATTGGCATGGAAATCTCTGCTTTTAGTTAATTTTCCGGTTCAAACGTTATCCTGCCGACTAATCCGTGTCGTCGTTCAGTGCGTCCTGCCTGTCTGCCTGCCTGTACAGGTTGACATTTACATTTTTGGTCAGAACACAAAAAAATGCCTCACAGCGGGTCATGTCCTGCAGCCTGCTGGCAGCTACTTTTTTGTGCTGCTGGCCTCGTGTCACGCTTACATAAGGATTATAGTTTGGGGTTGCTGCGCTGTTGTTAGTGTCACGGCAGGAGGGCAGGATGCGGAGCAAAGTTCGAACTGTCGCTTTGATTCGACAGTTGACATATTTCGGGCATGCCTCTGGCCTCTTCATATATATGGCTAATATTTTGTTGTTGCTGCGAGGCGATCTTTTTGATTTTTATTGGGGTCGCCTGTTTTTCAAAGGCCGCACAATACGAACAACTCAAAATGTAAATAAAATATATTTAATTTAATAAATAAATAATTTGTTGTCCATCAAAACGAAATATGAGAAGAATTCAACTTAAATTTTTATGCTCTGGGCGGATTTTTTCGTTTGTGTGTGGTTCGCAGGGCGTATGCGTAATGTGTGTTTATTTATTTTTTTCTTTTTTTTTAATATTGTTTTTGTTGTTCATGTTGTTCCTGTTGTTTTTGCTGTTGTAAGAACATTATGTGTGTAAAACTAGAGTATTGTAAAACAAGTTAAGTAACAACATTTAATAAAAGATTAAGATATTAGTACGAGTAGATAGCTAGTAAAGGATTCGGGGCTGCACATTATACTTTAAGACTGGATAGACCAGAGTGGCAATTTAAAATATAAAAATATTATAAAATATACTCGAAATTTATTTTTCCTTAAATTGCTTTCCACGCTAGCACTGACAGCATGCATAAATAACCCCAAGGATAATACAGTTGGTATACATATATATATATATACATATAAATACTGATGATATAGGTACATATAGATTGTCTAGGCACTGCTTCTAAAGAGGGGTTTTGGTACACAAAAATAAACAATAGCATAAATTATAAATGTTTTTAGACCAGTTATAGCGAGATATGCTAACGGTAAACATTGTAAGTTACAGCTAGCTTGGGATTTGATATAGCTTAGGGGAATTCATTTGGCATATAGTTTAAATTATGACATAGCTTGATGATATTGTTATAGTTGTAATAGGTAACATATATATGAAAATTAATGATATTTTGGTATAATTTATAGCAGCGCTGCATCGGTCTTAAGTCAAAATTAGTATGTGTAAAAACTAGTTCAGTTTTTACTATTCTAATTTGAGCATTAAATTAATATCTCTTAAGAATGGGTGAAACGTTCAAAATAAATTTTAGCTTGAAGATTTTTTATCCCTGTACATGGGTTTAATATTCGAAACGAAAAAGAAACGCCTAAAATTTGAATAAAATATTAGCTAGAGTTGGAGATGGGAAATTTTGATAGATTTTGTTGCATTATCAAATCATAAACAAACGGCAATGGAAACTAATTAATATGTAATCTTAGAATTATAGCATATGAATCGCCATATCAAGAAAGGAAAAATAATTGCTAATATATAAATAATTAGCTACAAGCTGGAAGCACAACGAGGGCAACATTTAACGAGCCATTTCATAATAACAAAATCGTTATTTTAATATGCATTTTAAACGTTCAGAGCAGGTGCAAAAATATATAACACATACACACACGAACATATTTAAAAGGATATTTATGTATAGGTATATTATTTTTTTTCCTTTAGCTCATAATCATATTAAGCCCGGGCCCATAAATAAAATTATGCGCTGCCCTGGCCAGGTGCGTGTGCGTGAAAGAGACAACATCAGTAAAAATAAAAAGAGTGAGACAGTGTGTGTGTGCGTGTGTGTTGGTGCTGGTAAAATTTCAAAGGACAATTTGATACAATAATCACGTTTGTCGTGCCTGGTCTGGAGCTCGATTGAATTACGCCTAAAATGCTGCAACAATTTTTCACTTTATGCGATATTATGCTGCAATTATGTGTGTCATGTTTGCAGCGGCAACTGAGGAGTGGTGGTGGGGGAGGGGGTACCACTGCCACAGCCAGAAGGAGCCTGGCAACAAGGACACTAGGACTCATCGCTGTTGATGCTGTTTTTGCTGTTGTTGTTGTTGTTGTGCGCAGCGTCAAATAAATTTTCAGCCAAAAGCAATTAAGTCGCGAATTAAGTGCGGCGCATAGGCAGGACCCCATGGACGCGGCAGGACGAGCACACACACACGCACACAGACACACATGCAAGCCCATGTGAGAGTTGGGCAATCACGAACGTGCGCCCACGTGTGGCTATGTGAGTGTATGTGTTTGCCTGGCTGACTGCTGCGTGCTCAAAGCTTTAACGCGTTGTAATAAATGTTAATTTTCCCCAACGAAAATCAACATTTATGGCGTGTTTTATGTGCAGCTTCAACATATTTTCCATGTTGTTGAATGCCAGCAATGCCAATCCCTGTCAGTTCCTGTGTCTCTGTATATGTGTATATGTTTGGCTGGGATTATGAGCTTGCCACACACGCATACACACAAATAAAAACCATGTTTATTGGTGTGCGTGTGTTGTTATTTTCTTGCGTAAAGTCAAATTGTTTAAAATGTAATTTTGTCTTTCGCTGTCTTTCGATTTATTGAACTTTTTAAAATTTCGTTAAGAACACGTAAATATCTGCTTAAATGGCCCTAAAAAGGCAGAGTGTGCACTTGAGCTGATTTTAAAATTGGTTTATCAGGTAAAATATTGAGCAAGTTGCAGATGGGTAGCCAATTATTTTAGCCCACTTTGTGCGTATTTTAGCCCACTTTGTGCGTATTAAGCTAACTATTTAAAATGATCATAATTGGGATGCGGTTGAAACATTTTCTAGTATAAATATTAAGGTCTTCTACTCTATTTATTAACTGGCTTGAAAAATACAATTTTAAATGTAATATATTGCTAAGTTCATAAATCCTTGACGCCTGTGTTCTACGACTTAATTTATAAATAACTCATGGCAAAAGTTAGAAGTATTTGCGTTAAGTAAACATATTTAAAGCCACCTAAATGAGTTCTAAGTGAGTTCTAACTCTATGTGGGAGTTACGAAACACACGCGGTTAAATTAAAATTACAACTGCAAATTGCACACGTTGAGTTCTTAGAAATTCGCGCGATATGTGTGTTTGTGTGTGTTAAATAGTGTTTATGTATGGGATAATTTGAATGCATTTCTGGCAGAGCTCTGGCAGCGCAGCATCAAATATCGCAATTTATTTATTTATTTTTTTGCTCGAGTAAATTGCAGTTATTTATTGCTGTTGTGCTAACGTTTGCATAAAGTTAATTAAATTGTTTACATGCAGCATTAAGTTTTCATTAAATTTGCTTTAAATAAGCAGAACGGAATAGAGAGAGAGAGAAACTTGCACATAGAGATAACATGTAGTTTACACGGAGTTAGCATTTAGCCAATATTGTGTTAACACAACCGTAAACATCATTAGCTTACATTAAGTTAACAGTTGATTAACAGAACTTGTTTAAAGCAAATTTTTTTATTGAAAACTTAAAACATTTAGAAAGATCTAAATCTAACTGGTATATATAAATATATTGCTTGCTAAATACTAAGAGCGAAAACTATTGCATACTTTGTGGCGTGTTTAAGTTTCTTAGTGCGGGGCGGTAAGAGTGTATCATTTGGTTTTATCTTTGTTTAAGTTCAACGAACAAAGTCAAAAATAAAAATATTGTGAGTTGCTCTAATTAAGCCAAAACTGCATTAACAAAATGAAAAATGAAAAAAAAATTGTTAAAATTTTAATTGAGAAACATTAAATGAAAATCTTGAGCAGCTGGCGCGCACAAAAAAAAATAAAAAACTAGAAAAATTAGGCGGCATAAAAAACGCAAATTCAAAAAAACATATTGCTGTCGCTCTCGCACTGTGAGCTGCTGCCACATGTACGACAGAGATGGCAATTTTGGGCAGCTGGGGCTGTGGGGTAGGCATCGGGAGGGGTTTGGGCTTGGACTGAGGGAGTTAAAGAAAGAGAAAGTATAAAAGTAAATATAGAAATAGCCATACCGCAGCTGCAGCAGCGACAGCGGTGGCGCGTGTTTGGGCCGCTTTTAATTGTGCCTGTAGGTGCAGGGGGGGATGAAAGTAGCGGCAGGGGTCACGTGCGCATCTGCCCTTCACGGCGTCCATGCAAACCGTTATGGAACCATCGTCGTGCCGCGCAACGCTCTCCTGCGGATGCGCGAACCGGCATTCCGACTCGGCCCGTTTGCAGGCGCCGCGCAAGAATTCGCGACAGACCTGGAAACACATTTTTAGGATTGTTTTTTTGTGGTTTTTTTGATTTTTGGAGTTTTTTTTTTTAGTTTTTGGAATTGGATACGGCGTTGTTTTTGGTTGTTGATGTCGTTGTTGTTGTTGTTGTTGTTGAGGTGGTTGTTGTTGTTGTAGTTGTTGTGTTGGTTGCACAGTTGATTGCAGATTGCGGATTGCAGATTGTTTGTTGTAGTTGTTGTTGTTGGTTGTTGGTTGTTGGCGGGCAGCAATAGCAAAAGTGGCAGCAGTTCAGTGTGTGTGTTTGTGTGTGTTTATAGGCGAAGTGGTGTTTTGTTGTTTTATTATATTTTGTTTTTTTTTTTTTTTTTGAGGCAAAAGTTGCAGATTTGTTGTGTGTGTGTGTGTAGGTGTTGTGTGTGTATTGGAAATAATGGAAGGATATTCAGTAACAGTTCAGTTTTTTGTTGTATACTTCAAAAGTAAAGTTAAGTATGCGGAACGCAACAACTTTTAATTATTTTTTGGATTTTTTTTGGAAGTTAGTGCCGATTTGCAGTTGTTGTAATTGATTGCTTGCAGATCATGCTTCCATATATGCACAGAAGCATGCATGTCGTATATATGGTGAGTATATAGATAGATACAAACATATATGCTTGATTTTAAATTTTTTGTTTGTTTAAGCGGCTGCCAATTGCTATCTGTGTTAACAGTTGAACAGTGGACAGCTGGATTAGGTTTTCTTTTTGGCTTGACTTACTGTTTTTCACAGTTAAGTATTTGCTATTATATTTTTTTTTAATTTTGTTATTTTTGAGCGAGCCGATTAGTTTTTGAGTTTTGCACTTGAGAACAACAAAAGAACACATACACAAAAAACAAAACAAGGCAAAAATTTGAGTTAGCTTAACACAAATGCAAGGGCTTGATAAAAATGTTAAAGCTTTCAATTTGCTGAGGACCTGAAAAAAAACTAGACTGGTATTGTGGAAAAACAAGAATTCACTTTGCTATAGAAAGGGTATGTCATAATCCGTCGCAGAATAAACAAAAAAAAAAAAAAAAAAAAAAAAAACAATGTAACAGCCTAACTCAACTGAAAAAGTGTTAGCTTACATTGTAGTTAACATGGCAAGTTAACATTTCTCAGTTTACATCAGAGTACTGTAAATTGAGAGCTTCTGAAAAATGAATTCGCAGACTCTTAACAGACAAAAACATTCTTGAAAATTTTAAAATGAATACAAAGAAAATATACCAAAACTTTTTGAATATTTTACTCATATCATGTGAATGTGTACAACCTATTGAAAAGTTTATTCTGAGAGTATCTGGCTAAAATGAAGGTATATAACTCAAGAAGTTATAAAATATAATATACGGATAAGTGCACAGAATTTTCAATTTGTATGTAGTCTGGTTTTATTTTGTTTTATTTACAAATTCTCTGGGAAAGCATATACTGAAAGCGCTTATCGTAAGCTTTGCAGGGTAGCAGCCGCTTCGGTAAAGCGCATTTTTGTAAACAAAAACTGTGCCGGAGTTCGACACTTGGATGGTTTGATACAAGTGTACAAGATTGTATCACATAGAAACCAAAAATACATATATATATGTATATGATATATATATATATATATATATATATAAATCAAAATGAAGAGTAAAGTATTATATCAGACATAAGAATAAGTAGAACGATTTTTTAAAGACAATTTTGCGATGTTAGACAAAAGTTCAAGTTTTCAAATACGAATACGAATGTGTGTCAACGTGATCAAATCAATTTTTACTATCAGCGAATTGTTAATATTAATTTTCGTTATCATTTTTCATATATTTATTTTTTTATTTTTATTTTTGGCAGAACTAAAGAGAACTTAAAACACTGTACATGGTTTTAGTTGCAATATTTTGTATACATAGTTAAAATATTAGGTCTTATATGAAGTAATACATAATAAAAACTCAATTAATTAGCATGCGAAAAAAACAATATTGAAACATGTCAAAAGAAAAGCGTTTCTCTTGGCATTTTGTTTGTCATTGTGTACGAAATAAACGATAAAACGATAACACGATAAACGATTAAAGAAATAAACGTAAGCATAAATTAAAGCATAATCCAAAAAAATGTATCACTTTATTGGCTTCTATTGCAGTCAATCAATGAATACAAATTTATATAAAGTAACTGTCACTCACCTCTAATCTGTCGGAGCGTGGAATTTTCTGTTGTGCCACCTGAACGGTCTGTGGCACCACCGTACCCAGCTGTGAGGCAACGCCCGTCGGATCATGTCCCAGCAAAGTAGGCACTAAGTGTCCGGCATAGTAAGGACTGTATGTGTTGGCTGGTATGCCAGTCAAGTAGGGATTTGTAGCCTGAAAGAGCATAAAAGAATGAAATATTGAATTCATCATCATCAATGCAAGCCATCAATCAAACAGCAGTTAATCAGTCGGAGGTGTTCTAGTGACAAGCAGCAATAGCTACTACTTTAACAGTTTCCACTCACTCACATCTGCTTTGTAAGTCAACCTATCTTATCTTCACAGCTTTAATTCAGGTTAAGAGCTTGAGAGCAGCTTAAGGCTTTTGAGAAAACAATAAAGCTAACATACTACTTGGATTTCACTTAGAGCCTTATCTTGCTCTTTATCATTAACCCTTTAAATTAATGTTAATCTTTTGGACTTATTAAATGTTAATGACATTTGAGACTTTTATAATTGCACCATTTGAGCATATCACTTAGTGTTGAATTGTTAATGAGATATCGTGTCAAGAACCCATCGTCAAGCTTATCGCAGCTAAGTATCTGCTACCACTTTAGTTTAAAGAATGTCTCATTTGCAGCACTTCACTTTCTATTTCTAGCCCTGGCAAATCACCCTAAACTCGCTAATGAAGGCTCATGCATTTTTCAACACACATCAGTGTTGAGCAGCGCTCGGGCTAATGGGCTCTGCCGTTTAGGAAGGCATTTCAAAAAACCATGTTCAAAATTATTTGAGAATTAATTTTCGATTTGCTGAGTAAAAAAGGCGGCAAGTGCGCCGCCCCTTGGCATGCAAATGCATGCGCCAGGCGAACCGGACAAAAACTTCTTATATAAGTATATATATTCGGTTTTCTCGCCCCTCACTTCGACTTCTTGTGCTACTCATTTTCGCGCATTTTGAATAGCATTTAACATTTTTTGGGGGTTCTTGTTATTCATAGTCCTGGTCATGGTAGGATTGGGGGAAATGGAAATTGAAGTGGGATATCCGCTTATAAATATTCATATTGTACAAACAGTTAGTCTGTAGTAGTCTAGACCAGGGAGTGGGCGAGTGGGTGGAGGGGGGGTGGGGGCAGTTGGCAGCGCTTAGGAGATTCAATTAAAGTATTATGTGGTTTTCGGGTTGCAAGTACTTACCACGGCTGGCACTTGGCCCGATATGACCGGCGGGCCGGGCGCAATGCCCATTTGTTGCATCAGTGCATTCTTTAGGGCCAGATGATTGCGTCCGTTTATCAACAGCTGATCCTTCAAATGCTGTGGTGGATGAAAATATTTGCACGGCGGTTTATCACGATTACAGCGTCCCTGCGAATAGTTAAATAAATGGTGAATTCTTTTGCTTAAAGCACATCATAGTAAATAAATTGCTCCCCAATTGAATGATTTACAAAGACAACAACAATAATTTGGCCAACAGTTATGGTGTTTTTATTTGTTTTCTATTAAGATTCGTTTTCGTATCAATTTACTCGTATTTTACTGAACAGTAACTGTGACTGTGACTGCGACTGTTACTGGACACGCCAATGGAAATCTTATTGTTGAGACCCCGACGCTCCATAAATTACGGCGCAAATTTATGTTAATGTGTGTGGACTGTACACGTGAGTGCGTGCGTCTGTGTTGGCAACTGTATAATTTATGTGGGTCAGTGTTGTTTAATGCCAACACAAATTGCCGAAAATAACCTTAATGTCAAAGTATTTTATTGTGATTTAATAAATTACAATGCAATGTTTTTTTAAGTTTAGTTGCTTTGCAAATCAAAGGAAACAAATTTGAACTAAATTGTGGGAATAAATACATTCTCTTTGATTATATATTTATATTTGTCTATTTTGACCCGGATAGAAATGTGCAGCACTAGAAAATGTACACTGTATTACCTATAAATATAATTTGATTGCTCACGACATGACTCATTGATTCACTATACTCAATGCACTCGAATGACGCACTGCTGCCGTGCTGTCATGTCATAATTTCGAATATAGAATTTGCGCGCCATTGTTATGAATTCCAAAAGGGAAAACAATTAACTGCACGTAACTGTAAATATGCATTCCGGCCGCACATGCCACACACATCTGTTGAGGCATGCGGCTAAAGAAGAAACTCAAACATGCATATTAAATCGATAAAAAGTAATTTCACATCATTAGCTGGTGTAATTATGGCCGCGAATTAAGCCGCCGAATCATGCAGCTCCTTTGTTTTTTTTCTTCTTTTTTTGAGTCCCGGGCTAAATGTCAACAATAATTATAATGAGTCCAGGCTAATGCTCCAGGGCCAGGTAGGGCGCATGCAACATGGCATGCACAAAAAAGATTTAATTCCCGTGTGTGGCGAATTGGGTGCGCAGACTGTCAAACAAATATGCATGTAAATTATATTTAATTCAGAGCAAATGAAGTTAACAAATATTTACATATGCCCGGGCGAACAGCGGACAGGACAGTGGCCGCATGTCCTTTGTCCGCGCCAGCTTATACATTGAAAAAATAATAATAAAAGGAACTGTGAAGCCTGGAAAATATTTATATGTATGCATAAATTGATTGTTTACTTGGGCAGGCCTTGGCACGAACAGGAGCACGTAGTTGGCAATTTTCATTTTCATATTGTTATTGTTGTTGTTTTTATTTTTGTTGTTGTCGCTTTTCGTCCTGGCATTCACAATTTATGACGCAATGAAAGCTCTGCAAGATTTATGGCGTGAACAAAATAAGAGAAAAATCTCATGCGCCCAGCCGCTAACTTACAAATAATTGTTGTTCAAAAAATGTTCACTGCGCGCCGACATTTATAAAATTTTATTCACTGTTGATGTTATTTGCCAAACAACACGAACTGCACAAAATATTTGCACAAATATTTGCTTGCATATTTTTCAATGCCAATTCAGCATGACAAATGTTGTGCAAATGTAACAAAAACAGCAAAACAAAAACGTAAGCGTACAAACTGCCCAACTAGGTAATATCCTGGAATAGCCTTGAAATAAGATGGGAATAGGATTGTTTGAAGTCTACCCAAAACTGTCAATAGTTTTCTCTTCGCCTGGCAGATAGGAAACACTTTAGTCAGGCTACAATGCAGCCGTTTTGCCTATCGCCTGGCAGATACATCAACGATAGTAATAAACATATTATGTCTTTTACCATCCTCTCTGATTAAAAATCGAAAACAAATATAATGAATGAATATAAAACAAATTTAATAATATTATATGATATCACAATCGTACCGCATTACATTTTAACGCTCAATGAAAAATAATGAAATATACTTTATAATGCAAACTAAACCTAATCCGGCCATTTTTATGGTATACGATTGTGAATTGCTTTACTCCAATTGGAAATATATATAATCCAATTTGCGTGAAGTAAAAATAAAATGCATTTTGATAGCCCATCGGATTTAGCTCAGTCAATTATTTCGCATGCATTACGAAATTACAGAAAAATTTGTTGCCAATTAATTAGCTCAATTATTTGTCACAAGCAAATGTGAAACATTTGCCAGCAAAATTTGCTGGGCAAACAATAATTTGCATTGTACTTGTTGTTCTTGCTGTTGATTTGCAATTTTGATCAAAACACAAAATATTTATTGACAGCAAGCAAACAATTTTCTTTGCACATAAATTTCTCTGAGCTGCGAATCGCGAGGCGCCTGAAAGCAGGCAACACGAGGTTATTGAAAAGCAGACGCCAAACCCGTTGACTGCCCCCGCCGGCACTTTTGGATTATTTGTTTGTGCTTATTGGCGCCATTGGCGGTAATTTAATGCTTGGATTGAGTTTATTCAACAACAACAACAACAACTACAGCAATAACAACAACCAGCAGCAGCAGCACCAACAGCAGCAGCAGTTTTCATGGCTTGTGTCTGCATCTGTGTCTGCATCTGCATCTGTATCTGTAGCTGTATCTGTGTGCTGTGAAAGGAGTAGCTGTGTTTATTGCTAACTCTTTTGCTTGATTTTAAATGCTTTAGCAAATTGTCTGTCGCTTCCCTACAGCACGCGCCCGCTTCCAATCCTGCGCGGCGCTTGGCTCTTGTCATTTTGTACACTCTTGTACTAATTTAAAATAATTAAATACAAATGTGATTTTTTAGTATGCCACTCGCCAGTTGCCAGTTGCCAGTACCACAGTTACTTGTTGCCTTCGCCAGCATCTAGGTTAATTGCAGTTGATTGGCAGGCGGCAACCGTTGCCATGAAGCGAAGACCATTTACGACATGTGCGAATCGGCTGATTCAGTTATTGCCGATCAAATGGGTCAGTTGACTGGCTAAACTGGGGCTTTGTTTGAATGTTAAATGTGATAGCTAATCGATGCAGTGCTTGGTGAGCTAAATATCGCATGCTATATAACTGTATAGCGACTGGGCGGAAATTTTATTGACAGTGGGACGCATATATCATTTTGCTGCTATACGAATGTATGGTAATTTCATAGTTATAATTATAAATATTAATTAGATATTATCGATAGACATTATCTTTAATTGAATTATAACAGCTAAGTTTCAAGTTAATGGGAATTTTAGCTTAGCAATGTGGCAAGGCCATTTTATAGTTTACTTTGCAACACTGTTCTACGAATAATGAAAAGGTGCCAACTTTGTGGCAACACTGGCTGCAACTTTGGGCCTGGCTTGTTCTGCGCGTACATTTTCAATGTCATTCGGAAAATTTTTAAATTGCATTTGGCATCGCAATCAAATAAGATATTATTCTTGCTCAGGCTGCACAGGCCCCACCAGTGCAACATGCAGAGGACGCGGCACTTTTGCACGTTCTTGCATCAAATGGCGCCGTGGCAGACATTATCTCAAATGGCAAGTGGCGCTCGTCTTGTGCCTCGGGTGCGCCCGCTGGCCAATTTCTTGTTGGTTGAATGTGAAACACATTTAGCTTTGCCGATTGCACTGCTCGCTCTCGTTCAGCTAGTTCTTATACTTTTCTTTTCTTATACTCTTTTTTTTTGCCAGTGCTGCCACACTAAACATTTTCATGTCATTTCGATTGTAATCTGCATGACTGGCTCCCACGATGGACGCGACACACGGCCGAGACAAAAAGTATAAAAAAGAAAAAGCAGCGAGTGTGAAAATGGCAAATGGTGTCCACTCACGCACACAGCGAGCGGGTGAGTTGCAGAGATGAAGAGCTGCAAAAAGACATACAGATAGAGAGACGGGCAGACGGACAGACTGGCGGACGGACAGACAGACAACGGGACAGACAGCATATTTGCATTGTGCGCGCTGTTATTCTCACTGCATTTTTATAGCAACCACCGAGCCTCGAACCCTTTTTTTAGAGCAATTCGCTCATTTTTTTTATTTTGTCACCAAAGCCTTGTGCAGATTATCCGCTTTAAATTGCAATGATTACTTTTTCCTTTTTTTTCCTTTTCGTTTTTTTTTTCTTTTTGGCTGATAGCTGGCATTGGCCTGGCATTTCAGAGCTATTTTTCTTCTTCGCTACGCTCGAAACAATGTTGCTGGCTGTCGCCGTCGTCTGGCATCCTCCTCCATAGACGATGCATGCGTAGCGAGTCCGTGAGGATTGTGTCCGTCGCAATGGAGGCTAAGGAATTTTTCACGTTTTCATGCCAAGTGCAAGTCAAGTCCAGTCATGTATATCGTCGCATCGTATCGCATTTGCCGACATGCGTCTTGGAGAGGGTCGCACCAGCAGGGACGTCGGCCAGAGGCACTCAACGTTTGCTCGACGACGTCGACAACGTTGGGTATTAAATGTCATTTTGCATTTCGTGACAAGTTGGCTAATCTGACTCGAAAGTTATTTATTTCTTCTTTGTTGAGTGCAAAGGAATTTTTCTTGCACTTTGCTAGCCCGAGCATTTTACATGGCATTTTTTGCTTAGTTTGCTGAGCGTATCCTTTCCTATCCTTTTTTTTTTTTTTTTTTGGTGAGTCCTTTTTAAGTTTAGCTACTTTTCTTCAATTTGGCGACGATAGAAATCGCCTTTGAATGTTAATAAAATGGATTTTTATGCAAATTTAAAACTGTTTGGCGGTTGGCTTGGTATGCATTACAAATGCCAGAGGGTTAGACCTAGACAATGAGTTTCCCATAAAATGCAAATGCTGTTTTCTCAACTGAAATTGATAACCAAGACGCGACGGCGCATTATGCAGTTCTCCAGATGTCGAAGTGTGACATGGGCCATGGGCTATGTTAAATTGCTATAAATTTATAGCAGCTCTGAAATATAAGTTCAAATACAAAGATAGGGATTGCTTTCAGTTTTATAGCAAGTC